AACTTTTATGATACAGGTTTTCAAAATTTTGGAAATTTTTCGAACTTAAAGATTTAAGCTATAGCTCCAAGACATAGCTATAATATATAGATTATATATATATATATATATATATATATATATATATATATATATATATATATAAATATATTTATTTATATTTAATATATAAATATATATATATATATATATATATATATATATATATTATAGATCTATAATATATAGATATGTTGCCAAGTTGAGACAAGCGTGAAGAAATTCATTGCAGGAGATGACTCCTGCGATGAATCCTTTATACTCTTGCGAGAGACAGAGCTAGATGGAGATCCTGGGTTGGATTAACCGACCTCGACGTTGAAAGGAACAACGATATGCAATTTATAGTGATGTGGAGGAACGGTGCATGGAAGGAAAGGTCTGGCCCACGGACTACTCTCTTCCACCAAATCTCTTCTCCTCTCAATTACCCCTCCTTAAAAATATTAAAATGAAACATTTACTTCACTGACTCATATTAGACAGGTTACTGAAGATAAAAGACAATTGCATATGATCAAACATGAAAAATAGTTTAAATAGAAAATAAAATAGTCTAAAATTTGAAAACCTGTATCTCGTAAACTATTTTATTTTCTGAGTCTGTTCTGATCTTAAATTGTAGCATATTTAATCTAGTTTAGAAATGTAAAGAATGTTGAAAACATGCTTCTTCATGGATAAAATGGGGAATAACCAAAAAATATCAGTTTTCGGGATATTCGAAAGTGAACCGGTGGATGGTGGGGTGAGGGTGGGGAGGAGGTAAAATAAGAAAATAAAAAAAAGAGGTAAGAGGTAAGAGGTAAGAAAATAAAAAAAAAACCTTCTACCCACATTCAATGAAACTTACTGGGAAATACAAGGTTACTGGAATAAATACCAGCATGGAAGTATCGGATCTTTGATCAGCTGTAGTTTTATTCGATCCGGACTATTTTAATTTGCGATTGACCAGAGGTGTCCAGAAAATGACTTCACGACGCAAGTTGCGCCATTAGAATTTTTGAGGTGGAAACATTTTGACGGAATTTGGAATTTTCGAGGGTGGCGCATTTCGACGACATTATGAATTTTCTGTGTGAAAAGTTTCATATCAAGGAACATGGTAGAAAAGATGGACCAAACCAGCAAACCAGACCAAAGCAAGTGTAATTGTATATGATATACGATTTTTCTAACTCTAATTCCGTTTGGACTGTTTTCAAAAAGAGTAGAGCAACAAAAGATCTTGAGAAGAGATGGGAAATTCATGCGCCATAGTCCTGGAGGAAGGGGGTGTGCACTTCTGTGATTGAAAAATAAATTATTCTAGATCGCTGATTACTCATGTCTCAACAATGGTTTTGGCGACAATGGTCATCTCCATCTAACTGTTAAAACATTTATTAAAGAAATATTTAGTCTCCTATATTAGTCTCATCCTCGGTAGCTTCCCACTTGTACCTGCCAGTTTGCAGCATGAATTGAATTAAGAGCTTTACCAGGTTTGCATTTGTGTTTACATGTTGACTCCTGGTATCTAGGCTAAGTCTCTGGTATTTAACAGTCAACTCTTTCTTCATATGCTCAACGTTATAGCTGATATTAAATTTGTGATACCGGCTGGACAAGATGCATAACTGCAATTATTTACGCAGCATTTTTCTTCTGCTTCAGGCTCGGTTCAAGATAATTTCAATTGTCGTCATGTTATTTCTAGTACAACTACGTGATCTGTTTATAGCTGACACTGTACATCCGGATCCCGTTCAATCGACGTCACGAAGTTGTTAAACATCAATTTGACGAGACTGAAACATTATCTACATGGACTGGCGACCTGTATGAATAAATGATATAATGAAGGACCAATGTTCAGAAACAGACCAGCGTATAATAATAGAGCTTTCGTCTCTCTCATAGATATTGATATCCCGAAAAATATCTAGAAATCTCAAATTAACCTTATACAATGCTATGATAAAAAAAATTTGAAACAAGGTTGAGAGGCCTAGGTACTAATCAACACCCTAGATTCGAGATGTATAATTGGCCTACATGAAAAACTATTGGTACTCAGTAGAAGCGGAATTTGATGCTCTACAACTTTTACGATTTTACGATTGTTTTCTCGTAGAGAACTCATTTCCAAGCTTCAAGGCCATTAATAGTAATTTGTCACAGTTTTTGACAAATTCGGTAAAAATTAGTGTTCGTAGACGTAGTTTTCGACTATACCACTTTAGCAAATTATTATGTTTAAGTACTCTTTCGATGCAAAATTTAACGTCCTTTGTCTTCTTAAAGAATACGTTTTTCGCTTCGATGCACCATTTAGAAATTATATGTTGAAAAAAAATCTGGCTTTTTTGGCTGTAAAAGGTTTTCCCCTTGGTACCCGCATTAGCAATTTTTTTAAATGTTTAAACTCATATATACAATTAAAAAAATAAAAACGTTCCCCACATTTTTCGCAATGAATTTCCCGTTTCGATACTCAAGGTACTGGCCTAATATTCTTTAAATCTGCCACCGTTTTTACAGATAGCAGGATCCGACTGGCAGACTCTCGTTTTTTAAATATAAATGTCATGAATATTCAAATAAATGCTTCAAATAAAATGTTCTTCAAATAATGTCGATTATTTCACACGAACTCTTGGAACGGTCCTTTCTAGCCCACTTTACCACCCCCTCCCCCTCCCCGGAATATTATCTTTCCTAACATTTACTATGCTTCTTCCATAGGCTCATTAAACCACTATCTCACAATCCGAATATACGAAGATCGCTAACCTAAGATTTTCTAAAAGATTTTGATTTGAATTTTAAAATTTTCATATAAAAATTCAGGGGTTTGGAGATGTATCCTTCCTTTACAAATTAATTAGGAAATAATCTTGGCAGTCATCAAGCAGAAACATATTAAGCCTTCTCTCCTGCTAATTCCCGAATGTATATGCTCTTTCAGAGATCCCTTTGGAGTTCTGTTTCTACAAGCTCTTTCACTTCACTTCAGAACTAGCTTTGCTCCTTGTTATAGATTTTATGAATCATTGAGCCTAATCATAATGTCAGAAATTGAGCTGAGTTGTTGGCTTCACTAGCACAAATACAATCCTTGACTCAACCTCTATCAACCTAATCTCAAAGGACAGGCAATGGTAGAAAACTTATACAATTTTTTATTTCCTACTTTAAAGTAATTCTGGATAGACACAATAACTGATATGAAGGTCATTGGTCCAAAATATAATGCTGAATGGTGCTATAGTTTTAATTCTTACCCAAGTACTAGAAAAATTATTGATTAAGAGAAAGGTAAAATGATTATTAGTTGCGATGAAAGTATGGAAGAGAAAATGGACAGGGAAAATGTTTGTGAAATAAGGAATAGGATGGAAGTAAAAGAACAATTTTGGAGAAAATTAAAGAAAGGATGTTAAAATAGTATGCTTGTGTAAAATGGATGGATGTAGAAAGAATTAAAAAATTGGTGATTGAATGAGAAGTTTATTTGAGGAGATTTTAATTTGAATAACAATTAAGTAATATCGCTTGAATGCTCCAATGAGATATTACCATTTTGTAAAACATTTAGTATCTCATTAAACATATTTTCCAAGATAAATTTTAACTAATGAAAGTATAATAAATTAAACATTTCAGATATTTGTTTACCATCAAATAGCTTCATAAGATTGCAACTTGCATTATTATGAAAATTTGTATTTATTTATCTATCAATATACGTCATTAATAAGACTATTCCTACACTTAATAATAAGTGTCCTGAGAAAAAGTTTTGTGACAAACTTAACTTCAGTCTTGATAAAAACAATTTAATTAATTATAAATTGAATTTCACCTGTTTCAGTTAGTATTCTTTGGAAGCTGCAGTTCTCTACTTCTTCCTGGTCAACCAGTGACTGGATTATATACTTTAATGTTTTATAATGTGTTTGCTTATTGTGTGGCCTATATAAAAGAATTATATGAAAAAGAGGATTGGTCACCATACGTTAATGTTACTGAACATTCAAATTTAAAACATCTTGCAATGACTGCAACAAAAATTGCTTTAGAATGGACAAAAGCTGTAACTTTCATCATAACATTAGTGTTTATGCTTCTTGTATTTGGTTTGGAACAAGGATTACAACATTATAAACCCACAGCATGTTACACATTACTAACATGGGTATACTATGCTTCAACAGAGAAAGTCTTTGTAGTCTTGCTCTCATACTTTGTCAACTATCTTCAGTTACCAATATTTGAAAATCTAGAAGCTCTGTGGTTGCCTGTAATTTTATACTTATTTACAACCGCTATGTCCTTCATTATTGCTGTTTTATCAATGATGTTTGGCCGTTTCAAGTTTGCCATAGCAGCTTTATATTTAAACGTATATATAAAATTAAAAGAACTAAATGCAAACCAGTTGAAAGAATTGAGTTCAGAAAGAGCCGTTTTGTTGCAGTTTCGTCGTGCCAGTCGAGAGGAGTTATCTTCCCTTGAAGATGTTTGTGCAGTATGTCTAAGTAGTATGACATTTGCTCGAGTAACACCTTGTAATCACCTTTTTCATGGTGACTGTTTAAGAAAATGTTTAAAAGCATCCAATCAATGCCCCATATGCAAACGTATTTTGATATTTATTCAATGAAAATTACCTAAGATTTTGTTTCATAATAATTTATTATAAATGATGTTTAATAATGATGCTGCTAGTATATTATATTATATAAATTACCTAAATGCAGTAACCATGTGTACTATAATATGTCTTTATGTTTATTATATTTCAATTTGTAGTTTATCGACTATCAAACAATAAACCATCATTAGTAACTTAAAAGAAATAACATTTTTACTATCTTGGAATTTATTTTTTAAAAAATCAATGATTACAGTTAAACCATTGAGTTTCACAGATAAAATACCATGCAAAAATTAACTTCCTTTTGGTACTAATTCTAAAATCATTTTATTATTTAACAGATTTTATATATATTAAATATTAATATTTATTAAATATTGGCTTAGACTTTTCCATTCATATTACTGCTATCAACTTCTTGGTACCCATCAGGATTGAGTGTTTTCCATTTCCAAAAATGTTCACCTATAAAATAGAAAATATTATTAGACAGAATAGGTACAAATATAGAGATGAAATGTATGAAAGGTAAAAAATTATATATTTACTATAATTTCATAAAGCCATTTTGAAACCAGACCACTACTTTTTCTAAAAAGCTACTCAGTTATTAACTACGAAGTTGTGAAGGAAGAATTTGTAGGTTTAATCGGGTGATAGTTATTGAGTGGCAAAGTTTGGTAAGATTCCATCTCTATCTAATGATTTGGAATATAATTCCATCAAATCATCAAGCAGTTGTAAAAGTGATGTACGAAAATATTTGTAAAACGTGTGATTTTTTTTTTAGTTCAAGAATTGAGTAAATATAGCATATCACATATACATATCATAAAGTTAAATTGATAATGAATTAAAATAATTCATTAACGAATCCATATGAATTATTAAATAATTGATAAGGAGAGGGTATATTTTTATTTACTCATATCTTATCTCATATTTTTAAACTGTTTTTAAGGCTGAACTCAAAGATAAAATTATTTCAACCTGTTGATAACTCTAGGTAAGGACTTTGATCAAAAGAATAAATACTCTGGACAGTATACTTACAAATACTCCGATTGTATACTTAAAAATATATTTTAACACAAAACTGGTGTTTTATACTGTCTCTCAACTGAAGTCTTCTTACTCTATCCCACAGGCGAATCTACAGGGGAGGCTTTTGGACTGAAGCCCCCTCCTCCCCAAAATGGTAAAATATAACCATGTTCTATGGAAAAATATATTAAAAAATTATCTCTTAAAGTATTATTGTTCCTGTAATTACAGTAACAAGACTTTTACAAGTCAAAAGGACATAAGGAATCACTTAAACACCATTTCATATAGAGAGTCAGTTTCTTTCTTTTTTTTCAAAGTAATTATCGTAATTTTTATGGAAAAAAAAGCTTTTGGGCTGAAGCCCCCCCCCCAAAATAAAATTAAATCCTGGATCGGCTAGTGCTCTATCCTCTAAGAGCATGTTATTAATTGGAATACTTTGTAATACGCCAAGAATTTTAATAGAGTGAAATTGAATTTTGATTCTAGATTTGTATGCTCAAACATAAAATATTCAAAATACATCGTTTCACAATGACATTTTAGTCATTTTAACAGAACTTTTGGGCTGCAAGACATTAAGCATTTTTTCTCAACTTTTTATCATATTTTAGACATGTAAATGTATACTTACACATTTGTTCAACTGAATATTTTGTTTCCCAACCAAGTTCCTCTTTGGCCAATCTTGGATCTGCATACATACTAACAATATCTCCTTCTCTCCTATCGACAATTTTACATGGTACTTTGGTTTTTGTAACAGATTCAAATGTTTTCACTAGTTCCAGAACAGAAAAACCTTTACCAGCCCCAAGGTTAAAAATCTGAAAAAAAAAAAAAAATTGTAAAACTTAACATAATTAAATTATGAAAAACAATCAATATCCAACTGTAATATAAGTAACCTTTATACAATAAATTGTTGAAAAATAAAGTAGAATTTTGAATAATAAATTTGAAATTAACTTAAAAAATAAGTCAACTACTTAAGAAAAAAACATCAGGATAACCTCAGTTTAGTAAATTATCCTACTACCCCCAAGTAGTTTGTAGTAAAATATCTATACCAACAAATCCCTTTGCAAATTCACATATATTGTATAATTTTCAATATAACAGCTTCCGTTTAGCACCATAAGGGTTTTGGTAATTTTTCATTTCTCTATGGCTCTATTTGTGTGGATAGAATTCTCCAATCATCTGGTACAAGCCAAAATGGAAAAATTTGTAATAATTTAACTGGTTGATATATTTTTATTTGGGATTATAATTTGAAGTTTTTTGCTAGTAATTATTCACATCACCTTACCTCTTTGGTTAAAATCTTCATTATTTTTTAGGTTACAAGTCACTTCTTCTACCCCTCCAACCAAGTTAAATTTTATTAAATGTGATCTAAAGCTTGATGAAATTTCAGAAAGAGCCTCTCAAATCACCATTATCTCCTCAAAAGACTAATTTTTGTAGTTAGGTTTCAACTGCTGGGGGATTCAACTGCTTATTTTAACTTTTAAAGGTCCTTGCTCAGTTTAATCATAAGGAAAGCTGTTCAATTTTTTTTTCTTCCTTTGAATCATTCACAATCCATTAGTTAATTATTGGTTACTTCTTTTGGTGAGAATGAATTCTATTTCTATAATTTTCAAGTACTTTTTTCCCTCAGGTAGTTCAAATATTTCTTAAATGAATTCATTTTGAACATCAGAAGAGCTGGGTTTATAATTAAATAAGTTGTATTGATTTATTAATTTATTATTATACCTTGTTTATAAAATCAGATGGTAAAGTATTAGAAAAAAAATTCATATTTTATATTGAATTTAATATATCAATATATATATATATATATATATATATATATATATATATATATATATATATATATTGTGATAATTATATGTAAAAGTAAGATTATGTTAAAATTATTGCTTTACTATGTCAGAGTTGCTTAGAGAATGAATAGTTGATTAAAGATTTAACTTCTTTAATTATCCCTTGTAAAAATAAAAATTAATGTATTTTGATGTCTTTTGTGAATAACGTACAATAAAGTGTAGTACATGTATAATTTGATAGATTTTACATTTTTACAACTATTAGTACTGTTAAATTACATTGATTAAAATACATATTTTACTTGGGCTTGCGTATGTGCTATTACAATGAAAAATATTTTGTTATTTAATAGAAGATTTATCTGTTTCCATATAATATTCAATTTCCTTTTTTCAATAAGAATTTATAACAGATCTAATTTTGTATTAACTCTTTTCAGTCAATAGCCATTATATTTTGAGGAAATGCATGAATACTTAAAAATAATAAAAGTTAAAGTAGTCATAAATCACCTTTAATCGGTAGTTTTTCTCTCTTAATTTTACTAATGCTGCTAAATGACCAGAGGCTAGGTCCATTATATGTATATAATCCCTTATTCCTGAAATTATGGTTATGTTATTAATACAATAGAACTTTTTTGGAAGAATATGTGTACATCAGTATTCATATCACTATTAGTTTTAATTCAGTAGATAACCAACTGTATTTTGTAATAAGGGGATTCACTTTGGTGAAAAATTCTTTTTTTTTTTTTTTTTTTTGTAAAATTCAAAACTTTGGAGAGAAACAAAAGTCCTAATCAAGTTCAAGCCTAATGTCATAATGGGGTATAATTTAATCTACTCATTTAATTATATGAATGAAATTGACATAAAACAAGTAGTTAATATATATGTCATACTAATACTACAATAGTTTTAGATTAGCTGGGTCAACCCAGTTTCTCCCCTAAACACAGTTCATATTTCTCATAAGCTCAAAAATAAAAAATGTTAGTCCTTTTTTTAACAGGGAATTGTCCATACAATATTCTTTACAGCTGAGTTAAAGGTTGCAAAGTAATTCAACTAGAATATTTTTGTCTAAAAAAAGAAATAATAATAAAAAAAGTAAATTTATCAACTTAACTATTTTTTTATTTTGCTTGCCTACTAGAATTAAGAAAATTATCAGCTGAGTTTTTTTTCTATTCTAAAAAGTTTGCTGATGTCTTTAGTATGTTTTACTTTACTAGGGGATATATACCAATCCTAGGGGGCTTAACGGTGGACCAATCCCCATTTCACAAATTATACAACTGTTCATTTAATTACAAATGTGTAACCTCCTACTCTCCTAATACAAAATAAAGATTTTAGACCCAAAATTTTTATGAGAAATGTTTGATAGTTCAAATAATCATCATAGAATAGCAGCACTATCGAGCTTAGAGGACTGGAGTGAAAAGTAGAGCTCCTATAAATTCCTACTCCTCTAATACTAAATAGTAGTATATATATTTCATAATAGTCTTCGTTATGTTCCATCCTGCTTTGTATATGTAAAATAAAATATGACAGTCACTAAAAACTTGTTTATATAAAAGAGGGATTTAAATGGAAATAGACCTTATTTTTTGTTATACAATTTTTATTCTTTCTTTTTCCTTATAAATTACGAATTTCAGCTGCTTTTTTAGAAAGGTCATCTAAAACCCGTATTAATTTATTCTCACTAAATTATTTTAATTCAGTCATACACAGACATTTAAATGGTAACAAAATTATACAAACCAATCGGTGGCTGTCATAACTAGATAACTCAATTAATTAATTAAAATATATATAAATATGCTGGATGAGATTATCATTACCCCTTCCTCGGAAGTCTATGCCCATGATACGAATCACAGATAGATAATACTATTGAATCAACAGGCTAATCAAATAGAGATAGTACATCACTTTAAACAGTTTAACTATATTATAACTATAACTACATAGTAAACCTATACAGAAGAAAAAGTTTTATTAAACTTACATTGAAAATAAATGAAGTTTCTTTTATCTAGAAACAAATATGAAGCAGCAATAATTGTGAAATAAAAGCTACAAACAAACTTTACATTTAGGCATTTCTTACCAGTCCCATCTGCTGTTTCATAATCTCCACCAAATATAGTTAAGTATGGTTTCTTGCCAATTGCTACTTCAGCTATATATGGCATAAGGTTAGTGAAAGGTTTGGTGGGATCTTCACCGATTTTCCCTGAAGGATGAGCACCAACTGGATTGAAATAACGAAGTGATATAATGTTCCACTTCTGTAATAATAATAATAATAAATCTGGTTAAAATGGGCAAATATTATTTATCTTTATGAGCATACATACAAAATAATGGAAATTAAAATTGAATTTATATAAATGTCATATACATACAATACGAATATTAAGGATAACAAGCCTTAAATAGTAGTAAATAGAGTATTTAAATGAATCTGGATAAGTTTAAGTTCATAGCATGCCAACACCAACCAATGAAGATCTGTTTTAACTAGAAATTTATATTTCATGAAATGATAACTGTTAAATGTACATGCTGTAAGTAATAGTCCAATGTGTTTGTTTCTTACTATGGATGAATTTGAAGACTACTTCCTTTGTTTCCATTCGCTTTAAGAATAGCAGAATCGAGTAAATATACCTGCTGGCCTACCTAGAATCCACATAGACTTTGCTCAATTCCATTTCTCATGGTCTGTACACCAATGCAGTTCCATTCACTCCCCCTTATGCAACCATGAACAAGGAAATGCAGAGTATAACCAGAGGAAGCATGTGTGATAATGTTATAAACCATCAGAGCATGAGGGATCCATTCATCCCAATCTTTTCCATATTACTGAATAAAGTATGAAATAGATAGTATCTCTAATAGTTCTATAAAACCGCTCAATCACTCTCAGCTGCTTTCTGAATGATAAGCAGTTGTTGTTAATAAATCAGAGCAGAAACTTTGCCCTTGAAGCAAGATGATTTTTTTTTACCAATTCTTGGACAGTCTTGGTTTTCATTGGTTACAACACACACAGGTCTCACATAACATTCTACATTTGTGGTTAATCCTAGTCAATAAAGCCAATATTTCATGCATACAATAGTTCAACTGGCTTTCAGAAATTCCTGACCATGGGTTCTCATATTAAATCTCATGATTTTTTCCCACAAAAGTTGACAAATACTATATATAACTCTCCAACTAATCTAAACTACTCACTGGCCACCCAGCAACCAATCTTATTGCTATACCTCCTGACGTGTTCATTACTCCATTGTCTTGACTGGAACTGTCTAGAACTTCTATAAAAGTGGTTTTCGTATACCGATCAGTTCATTTTTTTCAGAATATAAATATAGTGACATTGCTAAGACAAGAGTGAAACAGTCAGATGTTTGTCGTTCAACTTTGTTCTTTATGGAGAATGTTCTTTGTGAAGTTTTCCAAAGTTGTCTTATAATTTTCAATCTTATAAGATTACATTGTAATCGTGTTCTATAGTGTTTGTGAGTTTATTTTACACAAATTGTGAATTAGCCAAGTGTTGGCATAAATAATAAGGCTACCGGTAGAGATTGTATTTTAAAGTAATAAATTGAAGTGAAAATTAATATTAAATAAATTGATAATTACCACAGTCTTTGTGGAATGCCGAAAATATCCGAGTTTACTGTCTTTTAATAGGTTAGATTAGGTCATATTTCCAACATAAACAAATGAACAAATCAGATTTAATATAAATTCAATTATTCTGGAGATTATTTATGTAACTAAATATATAGGTATATAACACAGTCGGAGGGACATAGGCTTGAACTTAAGGACAAGCTGGCGTGCCCTTCCTGAAACTACAATACCTGTGCCAAAGGCGTGTTTGCTTTCATAGCTAATATAATGTACAGTATGGAATCTTATGTATGGGTCAGAGACCTAGGCCTTTACTAGAGCCAGTGAGAACTTCCTTCTGGTGTTTGAATGGAAGATTTGAGAAGAATTTTTGGTCTGGTTCGAGAGGGGGACACCCGGGGAAGAACCAGGAACTTTCAAGGCTGTGCAGAGATTCTGATATCATCAAATGGATCAAGTTTGGGAGACTCCGATGTGCGGGCCACGTGGTAAGGATGAAGGAGGACGAGATTCCTATGAATACATTGGCGAAAGAGCTTCATGGCAAGTGAAGAGTGGGTAGGCCAAATGTGAGATGGGCTGACTTTGTCACAGGGGACGCACAAAATCTCCTCGGTGCTAGGAACTGGAGAGGTGCAGCGACGGACAGAGCCAACTGGCGAAGACTTTTGGAGGAGGCCTAGACCCGTTAACGGGTTGTTGCGCCAACTATGTATGTATGTAAATATATACAATTTAGCTATGTACACACCTAAAGACCAGCATAATAATATACCAGCAAATGACTAAGATTAGAGAATTAATTAACAAAATTCATGAATTTTGGTTGATTTCAATAAAATAGAGAGAACTTTACTTTACAGAGAAGTTTTAATTGTTTATATTATAATAATTGTTACAAAGATTCTAATGTGGTATCACTGTGTTTGTCTGCTTTTAAATATAATCAGTTTTCATTTCATGAATATATCATTGAACATACATTTTTAGATATTGCCTAAATATTTTAAATTTATTAAATATATATATATATATATATATATATACCTCACTGAGGCCTATTGTGTGCCATTCTCTGTTAAAACAGGCCAGATGCCTTTTTGAACTTGTGTAAGCTGGTGGGATTGATCAATTTGCAGGGCTTGGGATCAGTGATACAACACTTCCAAAATGGAAATACCACAATCTAGCCAAATCATCTCATGTGCATATAACATGGTAGGCAGTTTCATCCGTAAGGCCACAAAGTCTGCAGATAGGTACCTCAGTTAAGCCCAGATTAAAGAGGTGCTCATTGAGTCCACAGTGACTCCTATACAGTCTTGTTACATACCTAATGGTGCTCCTGTCCATCAAAAGAAATGCTGACTTCCCTTTGGAGATGGTCCTTCTAGGAACAAGTTAGAATGTTTTTTTTCTAGCGTACTCCCAATAGAGCTTGGTTTTCTTGCCAAAAGCTGCCTTAATATGTCTTTTAGGATAGCTGAAGCCAATATCAGATATGGTCTCTGGTGCTAAAGGCCAGCCTTCTCATTACCTAAAACTCCTGAGTGTCCAGGAACCCACTCAACCATTACCTTTTTGGCTCTACAATTTTTAAATTTCCTTTACATTCATCCACCAACTTGGAGCGGGCAGCATAGCCATTTAAGGCCGTAAGAACTGTTTGCCTATCAATAAATATCGATATTGACCTGTTCATTATTCAGGATTGAGTGCAAGCATTAATGGCTTTTATCTCAGCCGGAAAGATAGAGGTACATCTACCTAGAGATAAGGATTTTCCCTCATTAGGATTATCCATTCTCCAGAAGGCAGTCTCTGAGCCTTGTTCTATCAAAGACCCATAAGTGTAACAGTTAACTCCATTATTAGGTCTGTGAGATTTAGTCCTGCCATTGTTACAATATAGTAAATTTCTCTATAGTTACTGACTAGAACTTCAGAGTTTATCTCAAGCACCTCAACAAAAAATACTATTTTCACAATTGTAAAAATAGAGATACTAATATATATAAAAAGAAAAGAAAAGTATTGTATGGTTTTATGCAATAGAATAATGAGTCTTGACTTCAGGTGACTGGAAACTAGTGCAACAGAGACACATGAGAGCTTGGACCTTGCCCTTGAGTGAGGGTTGCCAGGGCAGTCTTGTATTTTCCTCCTAAACTTTAGATAACATTAGAAGGAAAATAATAGGAAGCTAATTATAAAGGATCTAGAATTTAAATCAAGTTATCATATTAACCAACTTTAAACCTAAATGTTAAATTTCTATTTCTCTAAAATTATCCCTCCACGACTTATTCATCTTAATGAAGTTAATTATAAAAAAGGTTCATTTAAAATTTTATATTAATTTTATGCAATATATTTAGGATTATTTAAATTAGTTATACTAGTAGAAATATCTAATCAATGATAACAAACATACTTAAAATAGATAAATCAGAAATCAACATTTAATAATAAAATAAGGGATTTAAAATTGTTAGTTCAAGTTTTTTTGCCATTTCCCCTAGTTGGGATACATAATGCCAGAGGAGGTGTGTTAAAAAAAATATTTAAAGAACATTAACAAATACTTAAACCAAGTCATAATTTAATCTTCTTTAATTAAATGTATTAAAGAAGATTAAATTGATTTACATGATTATTAGATTAATTTATAGAATAAAATTTTCTTGTTGGTATGAAGAGGGCCAGTTATTCGGGTTTAATCCATATGCATCGATCCCTACTGGAAGGTTTTGTTAAAATTAGGAACAAAAGATAGCGTGTATTTTTCAATAAATTGAACGTGCGTCTCTTTTCTTATGATAAATATTTAATATATAGAATTTTAAATTACAGAAGCAAGAATATCGCTCAATTTTTAGAAAAATTATCATACAAGATAAATTCTAGGAGAAAAAAAAAACATCCTGGAAATCCTGTCATAATAATCTTATTGCTGTTTGACCCATTAAGGGAGCTAATCCGACAGAATATAAATATTCTGAAGTTGCTTATATTGATTTAGCATTAGAATGATGGTATCTCTTGATGGTGAACATAACACCTGAGATGGTGATAGCATCTGTAGCTAACAAAGATAGAAGAGTATATAAAAAATGACTAAATAATCAGTATGACCTGATTTATCATTCTTACTGTGAGATTTCAACTCATTGGAATAACAACAAACTTATTGGTGATATTTATGTTTATAGATTCATTGTTGGCTTACAAGATGAAGAAATCTTGAAGAGATGGAACCGCCATTATGCAGAAGTGTTTTCCAATGAATGCGAGGAAACAGCTGGAGATATGTTAATACCAGAAGAAGATGACGATGATATAATCTGGGAAGAGGATGTGAAAAGGATTATAGAAAAGCTAAAGACCGGAAAAGCAGCAGGGAGGGAGCTAATTAAGTTTGGAGGACCAGAACTGCAGAAGCACCTGCAGGACCTCTTTCAAGCAGCTTTTTCTCAAAAAACTGTGCCGAAGGAGTGGGAGTATAACATCCTCATATCTATAAACAAGAAAGGAAGCTCTAGTGAATGCAAAAATTAAAAGGTCGAAATGGAGATCCGATGCAGAGGAGAAATCCTAGAGAAGACTGAGGAATATACCTACCTAGGTACAGTCATCAGCAGGAATGGACAGATTAATGAGGTTTTCAACCGCATCAAAAAGGTAAATAATGTCTACTACCAACTATGCAAAACAATTGCTGGAAAGAGAGAAGTGGATAAAAACGGGAAGCTGCAAATTTTCAAGGCAATATACCTACCTACTCTTCTCTATGGAAGCGAAAAGCTAGGTCCCACTGAAGAAGCACTAGAGCTGAGTAACAGCTGCAGAAATGAGATACCTGAGGAGAGTGGCTGGCCGAACCAGAAGAGATCTGGTCAGAAATTAGCGAATATGAGAGGACCTGGGAGTTTCAGCTGTAAAAGAGGTGGTTGAGAGGAGGCAGCTGAAATGGTTTAGCCACCTTTGCTGAATGGAAGAAGATAGGGATCCAAGGAAGTACTTCGAAGCTAGGCCAACTGGAAGACATCCCCGGGGCAGACCTATGTTAACGTGGACCGACCACAACTCCAAGCTGGGACAGCAAAGAAGACGCGGGCTGAATGCCATGAAGGCGCTGGCCAGAGACCAAGATGCATGGCTGGCATGGACTGAGGCACCTCCACGCTGAAAGGCACAAAGAGGAAGAAGAAGAAGAAGATTCATTGTTGATGTTCAGCCACTAACAAAACAAAATTACCTCTTTTTTAAAACAAAACTTTTAACAACATGTTGCTAGGGTAGCCATAACATAACTTAATATTCATATTTAATAATATTAATTTTATAAAGTTAATAAAAAATTAATACCTCATCAGCTAAAGAAACATCTTTTAACATTTCTTCAATGAAATATTTAGTTCTTCCATAAACATTAGTTATATTTCCAGTAGGATGAGATTCATCAATTGGGAGATATTCTGGATTACCATAAACTGTACATGAACTTGAAAATACCATGTTGTAGCACTGCTCAGCTTGCATCACCTAAGTTTATGTAAATAATTAAAACATCTCAGTTATTTATATTTTCAAAAATCATAAAATAAATGGCTACCTTTTTTAAAAAGTGTATAATTTAGCATTTAGTCAAAATTTAAATATTTAGTATGTAGTAAGAACTCTAGATTCCAAAATAAATAAAATAGATCAGTTCTGCTGGGATTGTACCATCTATAGATGAATGAATCCAATAATTGATTGGATGCTAAATTATAGGTTGAATGAAAATATATATTCATTCTAAAGGTCAATTTTTAAGTACTGTAACTTATAATCATTAATATGAGAACTTTTCTCTTCATACATAGGTATATTTTCCTTATCAAAGGTGAATCAATTAATTATTTAATTTCAATTATAAAATTATATCTATAAGAAGTTTAGGAATAGTTAATATTTTACCTCTAATAGGTTAATTGTAGCTATCAAGTTGTTTTTGTAATACATGAATGGATACTGCATTGATTCTCCAACAGCTTTTAATGCAGCAAAATGTATTACACAGCTTATTTTATGCTAAAAAAAAATATATAATTATCAAATAAATGCAAAAAAATACTTGTAACTACACACTACTGTATAATATAATTTAATTTAATAATGAATATCTCAATTAATCACTTTGAAAGATTTATTTTGACAAAAATTTAAAATGTCAAAGATGGGAAGAAATTAAAATATTCACCAATGGTATTGATCAGGTGTTTTGTGACATAAAAATAATTAATTATGCTGATACAGTGTTATTATGGACATGGTTGGTAGCCAATAGTAAAAAGAGTCATTCATATACCTCCAGAAACATTAAAAGTGCCAATAATTTTAAATAAGGAGTTAAGGGATGATGGTAAAAAGAGTCAATGGATAACCGAAATGTTACTTTCATTGTACCATTTTTAAAATCTTAAATATATTTTAAACTTCTGATATAATTTTTTCCTATAATTTGTACAGCATTTCCAATCATTAACTTTTAAAATTCCAATGTAATGCTTTCTAAATCAAATGTGGCCTTTTCTATACCAAATGTAACCCTTTCTAATTCAAATATAACTTTAAAGGGTTACATTTGAAATGAAAAAGGTTACAATACTTGGAAATGTTTTATTTTCCAAGATTTCAAAGTTGTAAATTAAGATAAAGATGCCAGTTTCAAGTTATACCGGAATACAATGTTTGAACAACTTCCCTATCACATGTATTAAACATCTTATTCGCCAAAACTAGAAGGAATAAAGACTATGAGCTACGATATAATACTTTTACTTTGTAAATTCTGTAATCTTTTATTACTGCTAAAAGAGTGTAATGAACAAATCCATTAATTCAGTAGTATATTGAAAGAATTTCACATTGATGTAAGGACTACTCTTATTATTATTGACTATCAAACATTATCTCATGTATTAAATACTATTAAATATAAGGCAAATGAACTTGCTTTGAATTGTAATTTTTAGTAATTAAAGATTTTATGAGTGACTGTTTTGGATTTTGCTTATTGATATCTGGCTCACTGCCGTAGGTCAGTATAGGGACAAATTTATTTTTATACAGTTTTCTTAACATTTTATAAATATAACGGTTCACAGAAACTGTTAAAAAGGAACTTTTTAAAAATGTTCCATAACATTATCAACCACTAATTTAATCCCTTAAACATTAATTAACAAATAGATCCAAAAAGTAATTTATATATATATATATATATATATATATATATATATATATATATATATATATATATAATTTTTATATAACTTTTATCAGCAAAATTTTCATTTGAACTTAAGTGGTTTAAACAAAGTTTACCATCAGAAATACAATATTTGACAAAATGTACTTATCATATGTCTTGTTCACTGAATGTTCTCATAATTTTATACATCAATAAAAAATGCTCTGGAATATGAGATGGGTAAATTATTATTTACAATCACTGGAAAATAACATTAACTCCAAGTCAAGGTTTTAACCAAATTTGAAATATGTTAAGGATAAATCTTTTCTAAGCTGTAACATTTGAATATTTGATTGAGAGGTCATGTCATACTACTCATTAAAAACAGTTTATTTTCCTACATTAGCTGAAAACCAGAGATGATTAGAGTGAAGAAGTATGCAAACATATTGCTTGAGATTTAAATACAATTGCAATAATAATATTTAAAAATAAATTCTTCAATAATTCTAACTCGATATGGTCATTTGTACAACAATCCTTTGTAGAAAATGATTTTCTATGTATAACTTCATCCCAAATGATATCCCATTTTTATTAGAAACTTAAAAGGCAAGAACCGAATATAAGCAAAATTATTTTATCAATAAGATACACACCTCATACCTTTCTGAATATCCCATGAAGCTTCTCTTTATCTAGTAGATCACAGCAATAAAATTTTACTGGTTTTCCTGTAATTTTTTCAACTCTCTTTAAACTCAAAGCTTCCCCATTTTTCCCAACTGAATTAGCGAAATTGTCCACAGCAACCACTTCATATCCTGCCTCCAAGAGTTCTACTATACAGTGACTTCCAATATAACCAGCTCCGCCAGTAACAAAAACAGTTTCCCATTGTGGCATTCTGTAAAAATTAAGTAATGATTGATTAAACTATACTTGATTAAACTATGCAGACAGCATTGATTAAAGTAAACTCATCAAGATATCTGAATAAAGAAATAGTGGTTGTGTTTCAGTGGCATAACTAAGTAAGAAGCAGTCATCTTGGTGCCTCTTGCTTCATCACTTTCGAAATCGGGTCATCCCAGTCTTCAAATAAATTCTGATAAATGCTAAAATAATAACTTTGAATTGTTTTGTAGCCAACAAATATTTCTTGGGAAATAATAGCAGTGTTTGTATACAGTGGAAGCATTTTACCGCGATAATCCACATTAAAACTTAAAACTGCACTTAGAAAAGGAGGTGCACACTTTCAGTCATACGCCATCGACCTTGCCCCCCCCCCCGTTGATACACCTGCCTGCAATCTGTGTTAATTGCAAGGACATCCACCAAACTATAAAGGCTGCCAAATCCTGAAGAATTTTCGAAATATTAGAGAAATTCAGAGGCCAACTGCTGTATAACCAGTGGAGATGTCTTCGGTTAGATTTCTCGCTTCTCAGACAGCCATCCCACCCTAACACCAGCCGACATTGTCAGGGATGTGGAATGATATTACTCACCCGGTACCTCCCTCCGATGGTTAATCGTTTAACGCTTAGGTTAATCCCAATTATCACACTATCTCAAGAAAAATAACCTTATGAACTGTCACCAATCTGGTTTTAGACCCAACTACTCTACCCATTCCGCCCTCATTAAAATCTCTCAAGATCTACACATAGCTACAGACCAACAAAAACTCACCATCGTTATTCTCATTGTTTTTTTCAAAGCATTTGACTCAGTAGATCATAATATCTTCCTAACCAAAATTAAAAATACTTACCTGTCATCTAGTGCCTTTAATCTTGAGTCCAGTCATTTAATGCCTCTACTGCTCGAAACCGAAGACGAACTTGAAACAGCAATAGATAATTTTACAAAATCGATATAGAATGCAGCTTGTATTCATCAGAACTCAAGAGAAAATAAGCAGTGAACCTACCTTGCTACCCAAGATACATGAGGAATAGGTCAGACTATAGAGAAGAACTCGAAAATATTGGCATACAAATACATTCCTATCGTATAAATGGATATTTAAAATACTTAACAATGAACTGAAATGACAAATACAAAAATATAACCGGATTACTTATGAATTTTATATTGAAAGCTCAGCAACTGGTGCTGGAAGTTTGTGGAGGCACATTAAAAATGTCTTATGCATCGCACTTTGTCAGGACCTGCTAAGAGAAAAAACAGTTCTTAGGCGACGACGCTCGAAGAAAATTCTGAGCTCTTCGCTGACTATAATTCATTATTTTCAAAAAGGCATAATGAGTTAACTAATATACAAAAATGTACCAACAAATATATACATTATATTACAATATTCACTCCCTCCTCCCTCTTGCATTCCCACACAAACTGCAGAACACATTAAACCACACACACACAAAAAGCCCCATGTCACGATCTGATAAATGCTGTAGCGCTCCGGAATATGACAAGAAAGCCTTTAGTGTTCCTCCCGACTACATACAACGCAATACTGAGGACTACTAAATCCCCTATACAGTCGAAATAACCGTACATCTCTGCGATCAACAAACCCAACAAAGAAAAACTCCTCATCCAGTGATGCCCAGAAGGGCGCAATTTGCGCCATAAACATTTTTGAGGAGGACATATTTTGATGGGATTTTAAATTTTCGAGGGGACCAAATTTCGAAATGAAAAGTTTTAGAATAAGAAGTAAGGGAAAAACATGGAATAGACAGCAGCAAGTGTAATTGTGTATGATCTACGATTTTATAATTCTACTTTCCCTTCCTATTTTTTTAAGAAAAGGTGAACAATAAAATATCTTGGGAGAGGGGGGGGGGAGGAGTAAGTTTGTTGCGCCATCGATTTTTTTTTGGGGGGGGGAGTGGCACCCCTGCCCTCATCCTCTTATTCGCCAAACAAATTCTTACTGGCAAGAGGAGAGGTTATGGATGAAGGGTCGCCGATTTCAATGCAACTTTTTAAGGTGATACTAGGTCAAACAAAAATAATAAAAAAATAGACCCTATAGTTTTTGCCAATACCCATAAGGAGCCGCAGAAAAAATATTTTATAAAGTTTTAGCATTTCTTCGTAATATTGTTTTCTACCTTAGCTCTTCATAAATTTTTTAGATTATAATATATCGATCGATTTGTTTTTTTGGTGTAAAATAAGAAAAACAAATTGCTGATAAAAATAAAGCATTCATAACTACATTATTACAACCGCCAAAAACCGAATTATTGCTCTTCTAAATCATATATATAAATAACGTTCAGAATTTCGGCCTCTATAATAATGAATAAGGAAAAACCAAAAGTTTTTATTTTGTACCTCTTGTTCTATTTTTTTTTTTTTTTTTTTTTTGTTGCGTGTTTCTGGTTTATGCCATTTAGTACACTATTACAATTTACAGGACATGCAGCTCTATATTAATATATTGCTCATACTGAACGTTTATTTCCAATATGAAGTGCAACAATTTTTAAGTAATATATTACTAACAGTCAGTCATGAATTCTAAAAAAATACTGCAGGAAACAAAACTAAACCTTAACAAACCTCTTATCTTATTTTAACTACTTATTAAACTAACACTAACAAATAACACCTCCTTTTAATACACAAGCTTTCGTGTTGTTGAGTGAAGTTTAGGTAGAAGAAACAATGACAAAGAAATAATAAGGCATTTCTTTATTTTAATCTTCTTCGCGTTTAATGCCTCAATATTCAAAGCATGATCACTTAAAATAAAATAATACAACATGAAATGAAACCACATAAATTTACAATCTTTCTATACTACCAATCATGATTCATAGACGTCTCACGATCAGTTAAAGGTAACTATTGAGTAAAGTACAAAATGTTTGAACATGTGTAATGTTAAACGGGAATAAGATATTCAATGCAAATCAAAGTACACTTGTGAAGCTATAAAAATGATTAAGTTCAATAACGGCGGTGAACCGGTCAAAACAAATGAATTCAAATGAATACATCAACTCCCGGCAGCCAAGTAAACTCGTAGTGATAAATTGAAGTATATAATTAGTTATCAGTATCATAAATAAAAACTATTTTTTCAGCACTAGAAACATAAATTCATCGTTTTTTACTGAGGCAGAAAAACGAAATATTTAAAGCAGTTGTATACTGTGAATTTCCTAGTTGTTGAAGAGAAAATGTTTGCACAATGATGACATTTATATAAAAAACGAATAAATAAGATGTTAACACATATTTAAAATGTTTACTTAAATAAGTAGATAAAACAATACTCACATTTTTAATGAACTTGAAGCAAGCTGAAGAACGATTGAGTAAATGAACTGGCGGAGAGAAGCGATGAGTGCCCCCACTTCAGGTGATTTTACCGTTACCTTACTGTCCGAAGCGAAAACATCATCCGACTCAGGGTCGCGATCTTCAACCCTGATGTCACACGGTGATTCCAAACACCTAAATCTCTGATAAAGGTCATGGTGCATCACATAAGTGGAGAACTACCCAGCCAGAAATGGTTAGGTAGGAAAAGAAAAAAAATGTAAAAAGATAGTACAAGAAATTATCATTTTAACGAGCTTCTTCATGATGAAATTGGACTCAAAATGTGGGATGGTTAACTAGTAGTTTTAATAAAATTCGCGCATTAAAAAAAAAAAATAATGTTCATGAAATTATTTCTGTATTTTTTTAGTATAGTTAGAAATATACTTATGTTTTTATTACTGGCTAACTGATTTTCATTTTTTTCACTGAACTATATATGAAATACCTTGTCAGAAGAAATATTGTGAATATGTGTTTTCAACGGAAATATAAATGATACTTAATACTGAAAAGTAATACTTAAACTAGGAAACAGAATAAGTAGATTAACTGATATGAAGACTGGTGTACAACAGTCATATTAAGATCTAAGTGTTTTAATATTTTCAAAAATTACATTCCAAATTTTGCTAAAAGTGACGATTCTCTTTTTATAACTTATAAAAATTACCCGACTTCTCTAGAAAAATAATTGCTGTATTTTTTTAATTCGAGCATAGCTAGAAATATATTTAGTTTTTATTAAAGGCTAACAAACTATATATTTTTTTAATTGGCTCATGACCGGCCGGCTAAAGGTACCGGCCTCGTCCAGCTGATCGTGACGTCACACTAGTTGACCATAGTGCCCTGCTTTTGAAGTAAATCTTTTACATTACTTTTCATTATTTTACTCTCAATTATAATTCTTGATTTGTAAATGGCTGTGAATGCATGCTGCCTCGATTCGCTGCTACTTATTTATTATTCTTTATAAATAAACAAACAAAATAAAAAATGAAAAACCAACTTATTCCAACCGATTATATATTACGATCAATACTCTATTCATCAACAGACCTAATAGAATTTATTTAGAAAGAAAATTTATTGCAATATGTTTCCTTTTTCATAAAACCAGATAAAAAAAACAAAAAATAAAACAATTAATAATAAGAACTTGGCTTCGAGTACAGTTTTAAATACTTAGGTGTTGAAGCGGATGAATACAGAGCCAGAACTAGTGGGGAGATAAGCTAAGACGCACTTGTTCCCCACACACAGTGATCCTAAACTTGATTTTTTTTACGTAATTCTATTACTTCGTATTTCTTTTTTATTCTACATACTTTTTTTTAATTATTATTTAGTTATTATTTTACTTTTGTTAATTTTGTATTTTCTGTATATATGGTGTGAATGTGTGCATATATCACTATAATTATTGTCTACGAGAAAGATTATTATATGTCTAAATAAATAAAAAAGTACTTCGTTATTTTTCAACAGATTTTCTTGTTTCTTCATTTTATAGCATTACTACTAAATAAACTACATTATCTGTACAATTAATATAAAATATTATCAGAAATAATATATGAAAATACGAAAATAAATGAGACTATGGTAGAGAACGTGAGATATCTTACTATAAAATTCTTTTTTATTTTTTTCGAGCTTTGGTAATTCTTCTCTTAGCTTGTAAAGACATTATTTATTTATTTATGTATACGGATATGTATATACACATACATTTATACAATATTTACAAAATTCATTCACTCAAAATATATATATATATATATTTTCTCTCTCTCTCTCTCTCTCTCTCTCTCTATATATATATATATATATATATATATATATATATATATATATATATATATATATATCCGTCAAAAAAGATATTATAATTTATGATTTTTTAAGTCTCGATAAATGTCAAATTCAATTCATTCAACGGAATAACTAGTTTCTCTATAACTTATAGATTTTTTTTATTATGACAATACTGTAAATTTCAGAAAATGTCAATGTTAGACTTTCCGCAAGAAAAATAATATTTTCATTTTTATTTTTAATACTTGCAAAAGAAACAGGATTTACACGCTGGGCCAGACCTCCCTCCCATAACGTGCACCCTCCCCCCTATCCCTATAAATTGCATATCGTTGTGTTTTTTGTAATTATTTATTTTAAAAAAATGAATAAAGGAACATAGGCTTTTTTTTTAAATAAATAGTTACAAGGAACACAACGATATGCAATTTATAGAGATGTGGAAGGGGAGGGGAGGGGTGTACGATAGGGGGGTCTGGCTCACCGTGTATGTATGTCGGGTTATAGCGCTTCTGCTCAGCGTCTACTGGTCCTTAAACCAGTAATGCGGCTGGATGAGAGGCGCTGGGATCTCCTAAAGTCCTGCCTTTCCTTTCACGAGTGGAGGGAAAAGCTTGACTCGGAGATTTTGAGTGAATGTATTTTGTAAATATTGTATAAACGTATGTGTATATTTAAGTAGTTATTTTGATTAGTTTAGTTTAATTTCTTTTAGTTTACATACATTTACTTTTACTATAATGATTTTGCGGTTTATTTATTGTACATAGAGTGTGAATGAGCTACTCTCCTTTCACTATTACTATTGTCCTTATATGTGCCAGATTGTAATATTATTCAATAAAAAATTGAATTGAAAAAAAAATAATAAGGATGCTATTTATATATATCCCTCTTCCCTTTCCCCCCATTGTTCCATGGTACTTACAATCCATACATTATATTTTGGCATGAATAACTAAAAATCTTAGTTCTCAAGAGTATGTGTTTCTAGGAAGTAACCACATTGTATTTGTGTGAACACAAACCATGTATTTATATCTACTGTATATTTATGTAATAGTTCTAAATCGTTTTCAAACTATGTAATATAATAATAACTAATACTATAGAAACAAGAATGGTAATGTGATTTATAGAAACCAAAATAATACGAACCAATATCTAAACAGTTGCACCCCTTCCTTACTGCTCTTTTTTACTTTTCCGAGATTTTGGTACTTCCTTTCTCGTTCGCTTAATGTATTTTTCCAGTTTTTGGGTTCAATTTCGCGTTTTCCCTCATTTTGAGACCAAATCTAAGCAATCAGTTCAGGTTACAAGAAGAATCTATAGTTTCGCCCTTTCCATCTTTATTTGTGCAGAGGGAATAATGCATTCAATATTAAAATTTCCTGTTTTTTATATGAAGAGAAGAATAGTTGGGGTGCTCAGTCAAAAAGGAAGGCAAAAATAAATTATAATATTTATTTTTTACAAATGCCAACGTTTCGACCTGAAGTTCAGGCCTTCATCAGGGCTAAGAAAATAACCAGATAACAAGGTATGAGAAAAAAAAAAACAAAAAAAAAATTATTAGAAAAATAAAATAGATAGATATAAAGTAAAATGAAATTGTTAGAATAATGATTAAGAACTAAGAGATAAATAATAAAAACTGTTACATAGTGTCGACACTCATTCCAATGATGAAGTAGGCATAATCAAAAAGGGGTGACAAAAGTGTTACATTGGGAATCTTAGAATAAAAAGTGAAAACATAAAAAAGAAATATAAAGTTATATAAGAAATGAAAATAAAATAAATAGTAAAATTAAAACATTGAGAATGGAGTAGTTAGATAGAAAATTGAGATATTGTAAAGTCTATCAAGATGTACAGACAATGTATAATATAATAAAGAGTTAAAAACAGAGAAAAGGAATGAAATGTTTTTTATAATATGATCCAACTTCCAATTCCGCAATTTCATAACAATAAGTTTTACTAAACAACCCGGCAAATATTCATTATATGTAGTTCAGATTAGGTATATATTATTTTAGTTTATAAAACAGGTATTGATATGACTCATTTACTGGAAGGTATATATATTTTAAATTAACTCTAAGAATCAGTAAATATACAAAACAAAGTGTTAAATTGCAAACGTTAAATAAAAAATTCAAGATATTCAGCAAAGTATTTTTAATTAAGTTTTATTATTATAATTATATCATTTTTACAATAGATGTCTACTTAAACGACCTCCATAAAGTAACGACAGAATAAAGTAAGTTACCCGACACGACAAAATAAAGTAAGTTAAATAAACAAATAAAATAAAATAATAAATTAAAAAAAAATGTTTAATTTTTTTTTTACAATTAAATTATTGCATTAATATAGTTTTTGTTAGTAAAACCAATATAATGTACCAAAAACGTTATTATATCAGTATAACTAAGCCATTTATGTGTGCAGAATGGTGTAGAGGCTTGTAGGCACCTGCGCCGGCACCGCTTTTCTCCCGCATAAGTGCATTTTCTACGGAACTGTTTCAAATATTTTAAAAAGTAATCAGTGTTATAATAATAATAATAATAATAATAAGGCTTAGCGAACCCGAAGGTTCGATGCCGACACCACCAATCGCTTGTTACACACCTCCCTCCACCGTTCGCCATCCAAACCCAGTTCCTTCAGATCGGCTTTAATGCAATCTTCCCACCTTCGCTTCGGTCTACCCCTCGGACGCTTACCATTCGGCACAGCAAATATTAACCTTTTAGGAATTCTCTCGTTACTAAGCCCAACAACTTTACAAGCCCATTTGATTCGCCGCGATGAAATTACATCAATTATATTAAACGAATACAGCTCACGCAATTCGGCGTTGTGTAACCGTCTGAACTCCCCGGTTAACTCATCCTTCTTCGGTCCGAATATTCTACGCAATACTTTATTTTCAAAAACCTTAAGACGCTGCTCACCCCTTAATGTAAGCGGCCTAGTTTCGCATCCATAAAGAACTGTAGGCAAGATAATTGTTTTATAGATTCTAATTTTTAAGTTCCGGGACAAGAGGCGCGAACTAAGTAGTTTTGTCACAGAAAAATAACAAGCATTTCCCGCCTTCAGTCTAACCTTAATCTCTTCTTCAATTTCGTTTTTTCTAGTTATCGTTGAACCTAGATACCTAAATTTATCTACCTGTTCAAACATATTACCATCTATATCGATGTCACCAGTAGTATCGCCATTTTTGCAGCTAACCATATATTTTGTTTTATCCACGTTTATTTCGAGTCCTAGTTCTTTCCCGGCTTTCATTAACGTTGTCGTATTTAGTTTTATAGTTTCAACGTCTTCGC